GCGGCGCCGCCTCCATCCCTCCTACAGTTCCTTATACGCGGGTCTTTGTGGGTCGGATCCCGGACCTCTCCAGGCCTGGTTCTACTTCAGTCCAGCGACATTCCGGCCGACGTGGCAGGAAGAGTCCCAGCCGATCCGAGGATTCGGTCGGGATGAAATCAGGAAAGGAAATCCTGCGGTAGTTTCCTTCGCAGCGACGGAGCTGAACTTTGGACTTCATGAACAAGAAGCTCAGATTAAAGTTTAACCAGGCAGTCACAGTCTGAAACTCTGGTTCTGGTTCTGGACAGGAGCCTGTGGAGCGGACCGGGAGCAGCGACCTGGAGTCGGCAGCGGCGCCGTGACGAGTCCAGAGGTCGCCGCGACGCCCTGCCCTGCTGCGTCTGATTGGCTGCAGGGACTCCCCCTCTCCTCCTCTGCCCCTCCAGGACGGATACGCTGCAAAAAGTGAAGGTGAAACAGATTCCTTCAGGAGGTCGCTTCCAGGAGAGATACATGCAGAACCGGAACCAGAACCGGGTCAAAACTCTGAGGGAATCCCAGCTCTTCAGGCGTTTCTTCTCTAGACGAGATCCACATCCAGACGGGCCGGGATCAGGGACCCGAGCACACGGCCTTGAGGAACTCCCGTACTGAAACCCAGAGTGTTTCCTGGGAACAGAACCAAGACCAGTACTGGTACTGCCCACGCCGTACCGGACATGGAGGTTCAGGAAGGTGTTCTCCGGTTTCTGACAGAAAACAGGAAGCAAGGGAACTCTGGTTCCCCTGCTGGTCCAGATAGAGCCGAGGTCAGATGGAGTCAGCAGGGGTCAGCGGGTCACCAGGAGGTTCTGGAGGAACATTTCAACATCATCTGCTGCTGGGTTGGATCCAGCATTCCCAGTAAGTTCTACCTGAAAGCTGCTGGGACAGTTGGACCTGTCAACAGGTTCTGTTCCTGTTGTCTGCACACACACACACACACACACACACACACACACACACACACACACACACACACCATCTGCTCATATGTTTATTATGAGGCGAGCGCAGCATCCATCTGGTCCAACAGACCAGGACCAGAACCAGGTCAGATCTGCAGTGCAGGTCCAGCTGGTGAGTGTGCAGAAGTTGCAGGTCGTTCCTGTTTTATTAATAATAATAATAATAAAGTAACTGTGTTACATAACGAGCCTGCGGGGGGCGCTGTCATCAGACTGAGTTCAGGTTTCTATAAATCGTTGATTCTTTTAAGCTACAAATAAAAACAAGTTGTTGATAAAACAACAATCTGATGCTGATTTCTTCTTGAGTGTGATGAGGTCAAAGGTCACTGGGGTTCAATTTCTACCTTAGAGTTCTCATTGGACTGAAACTGCTTGTGTGTGGGGTCAGAACCGGTCCAGAACCGGTCCGACTGGCACCATGCTGGTCCCAGTTTGTTTTCTACAAACAGACTGGTATTTACCCCAAGCAGCTTTTTACAGTGGAGAGCGTGAGCCAATGACGCGACAGCATCACGATGATGTCATCAGCTTCCCTTCATTGTTCCTCACATTCCTGAGTCAAAGACAGGAAGTGAGAAACAAACATCCTGCCGGGCCTGCTGGACCAGAACCAGAACCTGGACCAGAACCTGGACCAGAACCAGAACCAGAAAATGGACCAGAACCAGAACCAGAACCTGAATCTGGACTAGCTAAAGCACCTCATTTTTCAGCTGATTATGGTTATGATGGTTCTGATTGGTGCATTTCTGGTTCTGGCCCCGCCCACTTTCCCAGTGAGGTGTCAGAGAGGCGGGGCTTCCTCTGGTCGTATCGTCTCCACTTCCTGTCTGAGCTGCTGCAGAAACGCACCGCTCCTACCAGGAACAACCAATCACAGCCAGGAGGAGGGACTTAGCGTTGTCAGTCATTCTCATGCACTCGCTGCTAAATGAGTACAACCCACAGGGGGCGCCGCCCGCCTACCTGCCAGAGCCTTGATGCGCGAGCGCTCGAAGAGCCGGGCGGAGCTGTTCTCGTTGTCCCAGTCGTCGTCCCAGCGGTTGTTGACGGTGTCGCTGCTGCTGTACTGGCCGTGCAGCTCCATCGGGTCGTACTCGGCCGCCACCGTCGTCATCATGATGGGTCGGCTAACACGGGCCGCTTCAGGGCCACCACACCTGCGGGCGGAACCACGGGTCAGAGGCAGAACCAGAACCTGGGCCCGGTTCCACAGAACAGAACCGGGCACGGCATTGTTTCTTCCTGACCAATGATCATGTTGAGTCTGGCTGCTGCGCTCTGATTGGCTGAGCTCTAATGGGGGACGCGAGGGGATGACGTGGTAGAGCGGTGGGTCAGCATCATTTCAGCAGGACGGAGAGCGGACTGGCAGCAGAGGAGGAGACATGTTGACACCTTTACATTAATCATAATCCAAATCAGTTTAGTTTATAGTTTATGGCAGCAATTCATAAAAAATCTCATTACTGATTTTATTACTTTTTCTCATTCATATTGAAACAGAAACTGGTTTTATTTCTGAAAACGTTGAGCTTTGTTGCAGTCAATAAGGCTCCAGCACTTCACGGGCAGTTAATATTTAATGCACATCTTTGCAGCATTAATATTTCATATTGCAGAGAGGTTGAGATCATGCTGCTCAGGTAGGATCAGGAGGCTGGAAATTCCCACACTGGACGACACCCTGAACCTGGCACAGCCAAGTCTGACTCTCATTGGACGGCAGCAGGAGCTAGCGCCTCATTGGCTGGTCTGTGTGTTCAGGGAACCAGAATCTGCATCCAGTCTGTTTTTAAGAGCAGCTTCACTGAATCCTTCAGGGTTTGATCCTGGACTCTAGAACAGCAGATCTAGTTTGTCTAGAAATCCTTTGTTTCTGATTGCCTCGTATTTTTCAGCTTTCTTTATTTCCCATTGCGGGTTTTGAACTAAATCAGTTTTTGCTGCAGAACTGCAAAGCCAGGCCATGGACTTCTGGCTAACCACATTCATGAATCCGCCATTTTTACTCCTGGCAGAGATTTTTGTCTTCCAGGTTTAGAGGTTTAGGCTAGAGTAAAGGATTCAGACCAGTCGAGCCACAGACCAGTTGGATGTTTTGAGAAATGAACTGATGGGTCAATATGAAGCTCCTTATTCTGATTTAGACATTAATTATTGGTGTTCATCATCATCATCTTTATTGAAGAGCAATAACATCATGAAGTCCAAGCCAGGAAGTGGCTGGAAGAATGATCTCATCAACATTTCCAGGTTCTGGCTGCGCACACAGAACCGACAGCTGTCGGGTCCTGAACACGAGTCCCCCAGGGACACACGACCTGTCCCCCTATGGGCCCCGCCCCTCAGGTTGAGGAACAGCTGTCAGACAGCCGCACGGCAGAGCAGCTGCAGGGAAAACTGCCCCAACATTCCTGAACAGAGGGAACGCACCCACCAGACCCGGTTCTGACCCAACAGAAACCCAAACTGAGCCGACAGAACCGGTCCACTGAGTCTAGTCATTTAGAAAAAGCTGAACTTCAACCTCCGGAACCGATCCAGCTTCAGCTTCCTGCCTGACTTCACTCAGAACCAGAACCAGCTCTTGACTGGGATTCCAGGTTTCAGACAGGAAGCTTATTGATTGATCATCGATTGATTGTTGATGCCATGGCGGCGGCTTCCAGACCTCAAATCCATCCAAGATGGCCGCCAAACATCAGAAACATTTAAAGTTTAACTCTCTAACGACACATGTAGAGGACAAACAAAACCAGGAATCGGATCGGAACCGATCTGTTCAGATCGGACCGGCTTCAGTTGAGTCCAGATTTTCCCAGTTCATGGAGGAAGTTTCTGGAGCGGCAGACCATTCAGAACCTCCAGCAGGAGAACGTTCTGGGTCAGAACCAGCAGCTACAGCTGGCCCGGCTCTATGTTTTGGATCCAACCAGAACTTCCTGCAACTTTTCAGAACCAAGAGAATGAGAAGCTGAAGACCCAACAGAACATCCGAACCTGGAACGCTCCGGTACCGTTCTGGTCCAAGGACCCATTTTAAAACTAAAAACCCAATCAACTGTCAGAACAAGAGCGCTTCGGCCAGGACATCAGAACTTATTCCAAGGAACCGAACCGGAACTGTAGAACCAGTAGGAGGAGTTCTGTTGGGTAAAGTTCCTTGAAAAAGATTCCACTTTGGATCTTTCGGAACCCGTCAAGTCCTTGTTGAATATGGTTCTGCAGTTTGAACACCTGCAGCAGGGTTCGGTTCTCTGAGAGGAACGTTCCTCCAGCAGAACCCGGGGATGGAGGCCTCTGTTTTCCAGCATTTTCTGAGGGCCGAGCGGAGCTGCGCGGCGGCCTGCGGAGCCCCAAAGAGCCGGGGAGAGATGGCTGGAGGCCGGCCACGGGCGGTCCGAACCGACGCTGACACGGACCGGGAAATGAGGGCAGAATCGCGGCCGCAGCGGCTGTTATTGTCCCGGCCAGACCGCCTCCTCCCGCGGCCACGCCTGCATGGCGCACCGTTATTATTCTCCATCCTCCAAGCGGGAGGGTGGGGGGCCGGAGGCGGCCAGGCGGGCTGCTAAGTGCCGCCGGGCCCGGCCACACGGCGCGGCCGGGCCCGGCGGAAGTACCGCGGTTCTGGTTCGGAGATTCCGAGGTTATTAGGTTTGGAACCGGAGTCCAAACGGCCAGACTGAGCCCGGACTCCCGACACGAAGCGAAGTTAGCCTCAGAAACCTAGAAGCCCCCCAAACCGAAGCTCCAATCACAGCGGCCATTAAAACCCAGCCGAACCGAACCGAACCGGAGCAGGGCGCCGCTTACCTGCTAAGAGATCCACAGCGAGGATCCAAACTTCAGCTGCGGAGGAAGAGTCTGCAGAGCGGACGGAACCGGAGGAGGAGCACCGGGAGGAGGGGGGGGGCTGCAGCAGGGAATGACGGGAAAAGATCCGCACTGACCCTCCTCCTCCTCATCTTCATCCAGCAAGAGCAGAACCGAGCCTGAACCGGACCAGAACAGAACCAGGCCGCCTTGTTTCCGCAGAGAATCGTTTAAATAAATAAACGGAATTTAAATAAATTCAGTGGAAAACTGGAACCAGGGGTCAAATGTTACTATGAGAGGTCAGAGGTCATGTCTCCACCTCCTCAGTGAACTGGCCCTGTGGGAAGTAGAACTCCTGGTTCTGGTTCTGGTCTGACCACCCTGCTGCTGACTGAGCCATGGTTCCAACACCTGAAGCCGGTAGAACCGGGTCAGAACCCAACCCAGGAGGGAACCAGTTCAGAACCAGGAAGATTCAACAGAACCGGGCTGAGAGCTCCAGAACCTCCATGATGATGATGGGTCTTCATCTCTACTGTCGACCCAGTAGGGCCCAGCGACTGGTTGTGGGTTGAATCCCGACCCAGTTCTGACTGGAACTTTAGCTTTCGAGAGAGAGAGACTCGTCTCCGTCAGAATAATTATAATACATTTTATTTATGGGCGCCTTTGTTGACTTTTGAGGAAAGAATAAGTAAAATCAATACAATAATAATCAGTTAATCTGATGGATTCAGTTTCAAACAAATCAGTTTTCAGGATGTGAAACTGGAGAGGACATCGATGTTTCTATGGCAACCGCAGGGAGGAAGAGGAGGAGGAAGCAGCTGCGTTTCAACGAACCAGGATGGAGATGAGAAGGAGCCCGAGAACGGGGCCCTGAGGAACTTCAGAGCTTCAGGGTCTGAGCTACACTAGTGGAAGCTAGCCTTTAGCATGATGGAGAGAAATCCAGAATCAGCTGCCATGAAGATATCGATGAGATTCTGGTGAGAGGAACTGTTCATAAAGAACTACAGGAGAGGAACTGTTCATAAAGAACTACAGGGCGATCAAAGACTTATGAAGGGCAGAGAGGACAGTAGAGGTGTCAGGGGTCAGAGGTCGGTGGGTCAGGATGAGGTTCCTCTGGTGAGAGATGAACTAGTTTGAAGTTGGCCTCCGATTGGTTCATTGGCTGTGGGGGCGGGGCCAGAGACAAGTCCCAGGTTGTGGTTCTGGTTATGCCATGGTCCACCTCTTGGGACTGGTTCTGACCCGTAATTCTCAACAGGGACCATGAAGATCCTGTCTTCGTCCTGCAAGAGGTGCTTCAAAAACCACAGAAGAAGAACTCAATGTTTTAATGTGTTTTTAATGTTTTCCCACCAGAACCATCAGGTCCAATCAAACCAGACTCGGCAACCCGAGTCATCTAAACCGAATGAAGCCCAGCAGCTGCCAGAACCCGACCAGAACTCTGCGGGCTTCACTGAATTTATTCACAAGCTAAACCAGCAGCACAGAAACTAGAGTTCTGGTTCCAGTCTGTTCCTGAGGTTCTGTGGGATTCCCCTTGGACCCAACAGAACCATCAGGCCTGGATCCAGAACCGTAGAAGTTCTCTGCGTTTGTTTTTGTCCCAGCAGTTGGAGCTGCGGCTGCCGAGCCGCTTCCTGTCAGGTCGATACGGAGACAGGAAGTGGTGTAAGATGATCCGTGCTGATCGTCAGCACCAAGTCCATTAGAGCCTGATGGAGCAGAACCGGGCCTGATGGGACAAACATCGATCCATGGGTCGGGCTGAAGATGCTCCGACTCTGGGTTTTCCCCAAAGGCACCAGAACTGGGTTGTCCCAGCTGCAGCGTCTGTATGTAGGTGATGTAACCAACTGCAGTCTCCCCCTAGTGGTGGGAGGACTTCTGTTGGGGGAGTGAGTTTACAGCTTTTCATACTTCCTGTTGTTTTTCCTTCCATTTCCTGTTGCTGTAGCATTTTGTGTTTTCATTTTTTCTGTTGCGTTTGTTTCTTAGCATTTGGGTTTTCAGTTTGCATCATTCATCCCTCCACCCAGCCGTCTTCACATGTCCACGGCCCCGCCCGCTTCGCACACCGACTCCGCCCATAAGGCTCCTCTGGCCCCGCCCCATCAGAAGTCCAGCCACTCGCTCATGTAGATGCAGCTGGATGGGGAGATCTCTCCTCCTTCGTGGCAGTCGTGGAACACCTGCAGAGAGGACAGACGGGTGAGGTCAGGTGAGGCTGGGGAGGGGCTGCAGGTACGTCAAGGGGGCATGGTTACCGGGCAGAGTCCGCAGGGCGTCTTGACGAGGCCGGTGGGCTGCAGGATGGCGTTGACGCCGCGGTACAGCTTCATCTGGCCGTCCACGCTGCCCACCGTCCCCTCCTTGGCAGCGATCACAGTCATCTCCACCTTCCCATCGTAGATCAGTGTGTTCAGGATGGTCTCGATGTCGTCCATGGACAGGTCCACCTGCGCCCAACACACACACACACACACACACACACACACACACACACACACACCTGTCAGCCCAGAGGTAGACCGACTGCCAGGGGCCTGGACTGCAGGTGGGAGGAGTCACCTTGCTGATTCCCAGCTCACAGATGTACTTCCACACCTCATGCGACGTGGCGAACGAGCTGTTCCTCTGGACCATCGGGCTCTGCTTCCCGTCCCTTGCTGCTTCCGCCTTGGAGCAGAGCAGAGAAGTTCACAGGATCCACCAGGGGGTCACAGACCCAACCAGGGGGTCACAGACCCAACCAGGGGGTCACAGACCCAACCAGGGGGTCACAGACCCAACCAGGGAGTCACAGACCCAACCAGGGGGTCACAGACCCAACCAGGGGGTCACAGACCCAACCAGAAAGTCTCTTGGTGCCGTTGTAAAGGAAAACTGAGGACGAACACAGAGTTCATCACTGATCATGTTGGTTCCATCTGATCTACTTTCATTACTGAGGGCCCAGACCTGCAGAGCCTTCAAGAGGGAGACCTGTGCTGCCCCCTGCTGGAACGAATCATCTAAACCTGAACCGGTGTGTGTGTACTTGTATGTACTACATATAGAAACTGAGGACCTTTTCTTGGTCCTGGCTTACTTTGGAGTTTCTCCTGAGCTCTGCTGGTTAGATTACAGGTTTGGTTAGGGTTCTGGCTGGGTGGAGTTTGGCTCTGGCTGGGTGGAGTTTGGCCCTGGCTGGGTGGAGTTTGGAATAAACTAGTTCTTGTTAGGATTAAACAGTCACTAAAATGAATGGAGATCAATACCAAGTCTTCAGTTTGTATAGAAGTACCAGGCTGTGTGTGTGTTTGTGTCCAGACAGCTCTGGTTCTGGTCGGACATGTTCTGCTGGTACCTTGCTCTGCAGGAACTTGAAGCACTGCTGGTTCAGAACCTCCACGAACTCGGACTCGAAGTCCTGGTCACTGTACCAGGCGCCGCCCGTCACCGTACGATCTGGCTGCAGGTTGTACAGCATGTACACCTTCTTCTTGGACGCCTGGAGGACAGAACCACACCGGAACCAGATCAGAACCGGGTCAGCTACTGTTTTCAGCCCGCTCTGTGAGCTCTGATGAGAAACCTGAATATATAAAATCTGCTTTGAATTCTAACCTATTTCTGAGTTCATCAGACCAAAATGAAACGGATTAATTTAATTTCCTTCCAGTTACTCTAATGATTTTAAACCATTTTAATAAAGTGAATTAGCCTGATTGGCTAATGTGTAGTAGATCCAGCCAATCAGCAGCTAGAACAGACTGAAGCATCCAATCAAAGAAGAATGAGAGGACATTTAAATTCTGTCAAACCTCTGCAACATTTTCTAAGTATTCTGCATTTGTTTCAGTATTTCTGATGTTTGTTGAGTTTTATAGAAATTAAAAATGTTCCTTTAATTATATTTCATACATAGTAAAGTAAATCTGACTGGTTTCTGGTGCGAACGGAGTGATAGAGCTGATTGACAGCCAGGACGCCAGTGGATTACCGCTCCGCAGAAGAGACACTGCAGAGCCGAGTTACGGTGGGACTAAGAAGATCCGTCGCTTCCCAGCCGTTTCCTCAGCAACGCCACGTCCCTCGTCAACAAACGGACGAACTGAGGCCCCTCTCGAACCATCAGACAGATGTTGTCATGACAACAGACTCCTGACTTCAGTCAGGAATCCGGGACTCAGCTAATTGAGCCAATCGGCGACATGACTGCGTTTTGGTAGGAAGAGCAGAGGGGGCGGAGTCTGTGTCACATCAACACCTGCTGCTCCCCTCACAGGACTTCACCGTCTACGTCCCCCCCAAACAGAGCCGCTACCCAGGTTTCACTACTGCCAGAGATTTTAATCATGTCAGCTTAAAGCTAGTGCTGCCCACACCAACTCCAACGTCCGACTGGGTTACGGAGCCACGCGGTACCAGGCCTCATGTCGCCGTTTTGTTCATTCAGAAATTTCTCTTTTTAAAGCAGGACACAGTGGAGGGACTCTCACCTGACTGTTGGGGTTCGTAGTGACCGTTGGTCAACAATGAAATGCCCTTTTTTCTTTTTTTTTTTTATTACTTTTTTCACTGAAAAACACGACGAGCTGCTGGACGGATGACTGGCCGAGCGCCCAACCACTGGGCTCAGAAGGTTTTCTGGGGGAAACCTTGGCACGCATCCGCTTCACTGAATTCAGCTCCGCTTTCATGGCAGACCGGTGTGGAAACTGGCAGGCCTTGGAAGCCCCTCTCCCACCTGTTGCTGGATTAAGGACTTCCTGACGAAACGCACACTGACAGAGTCAGTAGCTCATCAGCTCTGGCCCTCTGCTCTTCATGCTTCCAGGCCACCAAAGTAGCACCTTGTTAAACTAGCAGACGACGACAGCAGGGGGTCTCACCTCAAGGGAGACCACCCTACGCTCAGCCAAGACCAAGGAGCTCATCCTGGATGTTAGGAGAAGTAAAGGAGACATGCAGACGCCAGGTGGAGAGGGTCAGACTTCTGCTTCCTGGGGGTTCATTTCATGGATAAACAGGCCTGGAGCAGAAACACAGCAGAACGGGCAAAGACAGTCCAGAGACTCCGTGTCCTGCCCCGTGTCCTCAGGAGAAACTAGGGTCCTCAAAAGCTACTGGAGGTTTTCCATCGATGCTCCACTGAAAGCATCAACTGCTGCTGCCTCTGTGCTTCAGACAGAGACGGATGAACCGGGCCTGGTGGTTCTGGACTCACCGCCACAGACTTGACAGCCTTGATGAGCTTCTTGCTCTCCAGGTTCTTCAGGATCTTGTTGATCTCCGTCAGAGGAAGGTTGCTCTTGAAGCGAATGTCTCTGCTCCAGATTCCTGCGGCGACACCAGAACAGGCCATGAGGTTCTGACCCGATCGGTCCTGACCCGATCACGGCGGACCGTCTACAGGACGCTACCTTTGTTTCCTGCGTCCTCGATGATCTGGTAGACCAGCTTCTCCTGGTTGTCAGAACCTTTCATCTTACTAGAACACAGAGGAGCGTCAGGGAGGAACGACCCGGCAGAACCGGGCCGGTGTGGAGCTTACCTGGCGCTCTGCGTGTCCTTCAGCCGGTACAGCAGACCCGAACTGTTCCTCAGCAGGTCCAGCTGACCCTGAAACACAGTCAGGTCAAAGGTCAGGAGCTGGAAAAGTATTCACACCCTGTCAGTTTCTTCTTCTTTTGTCTTAAATGTTTCACATCAAACAAACAGGAAGCTGCAGCCGGGATTGTCAGTTTATTGCTGACGTTCCACAGAAATGGTCTCAGTGATGCAGTCCACTTATCGTCAGATCGATACGGCGAAGAACGAACCGAACCGGAACCGGAAGTGACTGACCAGGGACAGCAGCTTGTTGAGCGCCATGGCGCGCTGCTGGGGCTCCAGGTGAGGCAGGTCGTTCTGGATCACCTGGTCCGTGATTCCCTGGGGAAACTGCTGACACAGCTCCTTGATCCTGGAAAACACCCGAACCGAACCGAGTCAGAGCATGCTTCTGGAAACATTAAAAATAATGAAAACGTTTCTCCTGGTTCTTCTTCTCCGAACCTCTGGTTCTGCTCCTTTCAGAATCATTCTGTTTAAACCTCAAAGTTCTGTCAGCTGGGGTTCGGTTCTTCTGAGCCGAACTACCTCGGAGTTTGGTTCTTCTGAGCGGGTTTTCACCTGTTCTCTATCTCCGCCGGTTCCGAAAGGTTCGTCTCCTTCTTCACCTTCACCTCTGCCATCCTGACCCAATTCTGTTGTTCCGTCTCTCCGCAGCGGGGCCGAGTTTGACTGGACCGAGTTGAACGTGCTGCGATGAGCCGGGGTCCTTAAGCCTGTGTCTCCGTGTGTCTCTTAGTGTGAGGTGTCCTGATCCGTGCCTGATTACAAAGGAGCCGGGGTCCTGCAGATATTCTGCTGGTCTGTTCGTTTAATGAACTCTAGTTCAGTTCTATGAAATGAAATATATCACATATTTATATTTAGATTAAAGCATTTTACCTGAAGTTTTAATGTAGAAAATACTGCGGCTATTTTAGGAAACGTCGGCAGTGAAATCCAGAAAATCCGATAAAAATCCGGACGAGACTGAATCATATTAAACATAAAAACTGTGCCGAACCGAACCAGGGCAGGTGGTTCTGGTTCTGGTTCTAGAATCTAAGCATTGTTGCTTAGCGTTGTGGGCGGAGCCTACTGCGATCCCGTTGTCAGGGTGACGCTAAACGCAACAGCTGGGCTTCAGTGAAAATACTGCTGATGTCCCGATCAGAAATTCATTTTAACGAAATTCACAGAAAACTGGAAAAACAGGAGCGGAACCAGAACCAAACAAGGGTCAGAACCGGAACTTACGTGGGGACCAGTTTGTCACGAAATGGAACGTCTGGAACATTCGGCTACTGGATCTAAACCGGATCAGAACCGGATCTGAACTACGATCATCAAAGTTTGTGATCCTCTGAGGTGACATGTTGTTTATGATCTACATAAGATCAATAATCAATCGTTCTGCCACTCAGCAGCTCAGTGACTGTTATCGATTGGCCAGCGGTTGCCATGGCAGCGGGCGCCATTTCAGCTCCTCTCATCATCCCGATCAGCGAGGGCGTGACCCGCAAACCCAAGACCCGCATCGACACCAGGACGCCCGTGTGCATCCAGTCAGGTACATCCAACCACATCCAACCACATCCAACCAGCATCACACCACATCCAACCAGCATCCAACCACATCCAACCACATCCAACCACATCCAACCAGCATCACACCACATCCAATCAGCATCCAACCACATCCAACCACATCCAACCAGCATCCAACCAGCATCACACCACATCCAATCAACATCCAACCACATCCAACCACATCCAACCCACATCCAACCACATCCAATCAGCATCCAACCACATCCAACCACATCCAACCAGCATCCAACCAGCATCACACCACATCCAATCAGCATCCAACCACATCCAACCACATCCAACCAGCATCACACCACATCCAATCAGCATCCAACCACATCCAACCACATCCAACCAGCATCCAACCAGCATCACACCACATCCAATCAGCATCCAACCACATCCAACCAGCATCCAACCAGCATCACACCACATCCAATCAGCATCCAACCACATCCAACCAGCATCAAAC